AACAACACTTTTATTAATACATTCAACAAACATAGGCACCCACACAACTCCAAAATTAAACAAACGGCACACAAAAACATCAGAAAGAAAACACACAATCATAACTTCTTGAGAAGGTCTTATTTTCCAAACAGGTTCTTCCTCAACATATTATAAGCTTCTTCATCTTCATCGTCACGATCTGGTTTGTTTTTCAAGAATAACCACATCTCCATATTCTTGGAATGAGCCAGGTTATTCATAGCTGAAGCAGTACTTGATCTTTTCTCTTCAAATTTTTCATGAGCACTGACTAGCTTAGATAACTCCTCCTCAATTGCCCCTTTTGATTTCCTTGACACAGATGTTTTACTAGAGGAACCTCTAGCTTTCTTCTTTGCCACGTCTCTACCCTCTGGACGTACAAGGGTAGGAGTTGATGATTCAACATCCTCACCACTACTCTTTCTTTTAGAGCCACTACTACCGGATGCATTTCCTCCTGTCATATATTTGGGTTGATTACGAACCACCTTCCACTCATCCACCAAATTAAACGTCGTACCTATTTTCTCAAAGTACAACTCTCTTGCCTTGGATATGTAGTTTTCATCGGACCAACCGCTACGCTTCTCCCTACATGCAGTACTGTAGCAGCCAATGAAACTGGATATCTTTCTGTTGATGTCTTTGAAATGACTATGGCACCGAGACACAATCCTCTCCTTTCCACTTTTGGCGTTCTCATTCACGTACTGTGTAATTTTACCCCAGAAAGTTTCACCCTTTTGGTTGTTCCCCAACTCACTATCATTACTAACGTGAAAATAACCAGTTAGTAAAAGTATGTTGTCTTCGGTGGTCCAAGTTTCATAACTTGATCTCTTTGCTGATTGTTGGGTTGGAGGGAGAAAACTGTGAGGAGTATCCCCACCAACATTTCCCAAAGACATTTGGGTGGAAAATTCTGGGATATCTGTAGATCCGCTACTAAACCGGGGTGTCGCTGGCTCACTCGACTCCGTGTTAGGACAATTCATATGGGAGGGAACATAGCTGCTTCCCGGAACTGGAGGATAACCGTAAGGGAGATAAGGATATTGCATGCCGAAATTTGGTTGCATCATGTACGGCATTTGAAAATTGGGCTGCATCCCCGTATTTTGAGTATTTTCGGGGCGTTGTATATTTGGATGTTGTGGTTGAGGGAGGGTATTTTGAGGTTGGTTAGGAAAGTTGTAGTTGTAGGAAAAATTAGGATAGTTTTGTGAAGGATCCATGAAGAAACTAGCTTCAAATTGTAGAAAGAAGAAGAATAGGGTGTAGAAACTCAGATTTTTTTTTGTGTCCAAATGACACAAAGTTAGTCTCTATTTATAGAGTTTGAAAAATGAAAATTAATGGTATAAAAATTATAAATTAATTCATTGTATTTATCTCAAAAAATATCAAATAAAAATAAGGAGGAAAAAAATAAAGCTTGCCCAATAGAAATTCGCCATGTGTCTGCTTGCATCAAGGCGCGCGCGTGGGCTTGTCAAATTCATCCGGGGTGAAATTTTCACCTTCTCTCCGATCTCATTTATTTCACCCCACAAAAAATCCCCAGCTGCCTTCAAATACCCCACAAAAAATCTCCTGCTGCATATGGTCTAAGTAACATGTGACCTGATGTGATGTAATAATCTTTAGTGTATAAGAAGGCTGAAGTCAGGGAAATGGCTATTTTCAGATGACGTCCAAGGATTTTAGATGAGAAAGCAAATATTTAAGCAAGAGAAATCAACTAATCCTAAAATAGCAAACACCAATTTGGTAATTTAACTCATTTTTGTTCCAATTGTTAAATATGATATATTTTTAAATTAAACATTTAAATTATTTTTTATTGTCTCTATAGTAATGCTGCTGCATCAGGCGGAGCAATTTTGCTTATATGTACTAAAAACAATTGGGACTAGTATTGTAGTCATAAACTATTTAGAACTACACTACACCCCATTAATCATAAGTTTTTTTTTAATTTTATTAACTTTAACCCTAAAGTTTCCCTCCATTCACTTTTAAGCCCATCTACACTCAAAGCTGTGATTCTTTCCTAAACCTAAAGTTCAACCCCATTTATTTTCAAACTCACTAGCTTCTAAACTTTTACTACAGTTTGTCACCTATAAACTTAAAGTTTTATCCATATTTATTTTAAAACCAACACATTTCCAAAATAACTCTTACACCCAAAATAATGTTGGAGAATCGCGCCATTGTGAATTGTAGATGAGTTCTTTTTTCCTACAAACAAAAGTCTTAATGTCATTTATTTTTGTTCATCCTCACTTGTCTAAAGGTATTTTTTATGAACTCAAAATATTCCATTGTATTGTTCATAACTACAGTAAACCTCTATTAACCCAAAAGGATTTTCCCCCAAGTTTTTACTCTAAGCCTAAAGTTGCCATCCATTCAAATTTAAACCCACACATACTCAAAGTTGTGATTCTTTGCTATAAGCCCAAAGTTCTACCCAATTTGTTATCAAACCCACCCACTCCCAAACTTTTACTATGATTTTTCATTTGTAAATCCAAAGTTTTACCTTCATTTATTTAAAATACAAAGCGATGTTATTTTTGCCTTTTTTTTACATCAATATCATGACATTGTGAATTGTAGATGAGTTTTTTAGTCTATAAACTAATATTTTAGCCTAATTATTTTCTTAACCCACTCACTTTACTAAAGCTATTTTCTTCTATGAACCAATAATAATCCATTGAATTAATTTTAACCTAATTTGTATTTAGTAGTTTGATATGCAGTGTGAGTTGTTATATTTTACTGTTGCTTTTTTAATTACTAGTAATTATTTTTTAATGTTGGTGGTGTATTTTTCATGTAAATGTTTACAATGTTATTTTTTGTCCGTATTTTATTGTCACTTGCTATATGAGTATAGTGCATTTTTAACTAAATGTGTAAACCATTACTTTTTTTGCTTCTAACGTCACGGTACCGCAAGTAGTAGATTAGTTTCATGCCTATACACCCAAACTTTCATCTTAATTTATTTTCAAGATGTTTAAGATGGCTCACTTACGAAAAGGGTTTATGTCTATGAACCCAAAGTCTTATCCTCTATTTAGTTTTATACCCATCCACTTTCAAATTATAGCCAGACAAAAAAAAAAAAAAAAAAACTCCACCGAATTAATTTTAAATCCATGAGTTAATTCAACAGTTTGGTATATAGTACAAGCTGCTATATTGTTTGTTTGTCCTTGGGGGTTAATACACAGTGCAGTTTAAAACTGAATTCCTTAAACTGCTATTTTCTGAATTTTTTACACTTTTAAAATCACTGTTAGAACCAAAATACCTCCAAATTATTTTGAAACCCACTTTACCTTCAAATCGACCCACTTCTAAAAAGTGCTTTTTGTATGCAAACCCAACATTTGACAACCATTTATTACTGTTCAATGCCTACACTTTCAAAATCAATATTGGACCCAAAAAACTCCATCGAATTATTTTCAAATCCACTTTATAAGCAGTTTGACATACGATGTAAGTAATTGGACTTTGTTTATAATATTGCTAATTTCGTTCTAAATGTTTAGATGTACAATATATTTTTAAAACAAATACTTTGTTGCTATTTTTTCAAACTGTTTTCACACTAATATCATGGCAGCGCGCGGATTAATTATGCTTATTTATCTATACGGTTCATAGCATCAGCATCTTACTTCAAGCTAGATTTATTTATTTAATATTAAATTGTGCACATTGACAAAATAGTAGTCGCTTGTAAGATATGTCAAAGGCCACTTTCGTTCCATTAAAACCCTGTCTTCTGTTTTCAGCCCAACACCGAAGATATTATTGAGAAAGCAATAGATACTGACAATTAAACGGGTGCAACTTCGGGTGTCGATCCGTCACCTTAAAATAAAATGACGATTTCTCCAACGTAGGGAGCAGACAGCTCGTCACGTGTGGGGTAGGTGAGTCCTCTCCGAGATCTCATCTGACGGCTCACATTCATCATCCACCCACGTGTAAAATTAAATAATAAGAAAAAGAATCGTTTTGCATTATACCCCGTAATCTACCGTATTTGCAAATTTGTTCTTCAAAACCTTAGTATTTAGTATTTTTGCTTCTGAACATTGCTTTTTTAATTTATAACGAAGCCACCGGGAATCGAACCCAAAATCGTGGCGCCTATATTGAAACCACACAACCATTCAGATCACCGGTGGAGCTCAAACACTGGTTTCTTTCTGTACCTCAATTCTCATTATCACCCAACTTATTAATTTCGTTACTTTGGTACTACTGTTTAAAAGTAACCCTCTTTTTTATTTGTGTGAGTTACATTGGTAGAACTCTGAAATGCCCTCGTATTCTTTAATAAGAAAAACCCTCACGGTTTAAAAAAAAACGGAATATCCTCGCATCGAAAAAAAACCAATGGAAGTAACCTCAAGCTTTGAAAAAAAAAAAAAACACCAACAAAATATCATTTTAGTGATTGTTTGGCTATGGTACTCCCTGAGAGTTCATGTCATGCATACATCACACGCGCTCAAATACTAGTTAGATAGAGAAAAAAGAAAGAAGGTAGAGGAGGATAAATGAGGGGAGAGTAAATCAGCGTCTCCCCTCCCTCATTCTCCTTCTTCATATCTCCGTCTAATTACACACTAATTTAATTAATTAGCATGATTAGAAATACATAGCAGTAGCAGGAAAAAAACAAATGCGGGAGATTTTGGAGAGTAAGCTAGCAAATATTCTGATCTTCACGAGTACAATTAGCAAACACTGTAGATTTTGGGGCTGTATACGCTGGAGACCTAATAAAAACCTCAGCCGTCCGATCAAAACTAAAGGTTCCATCTAGCTCCGATTATTCCGTTTAAATCCGTTTCAAGTGAGTGGCCCGAACTGTAAATATATCCCAAAGCAATGTCTGAAAGTAATTCACTCAATGTATAAATAACGGGTTCCTCCTTCGGGAGCCGCACTCTCTCAAGCGCGAAAGCCTCAGGACCTTTTGTATCGGAGATCATTTCGCTTTTCTTTTTTCCTTCGAGGAAAAATAAAAAGCAGTTGAGAGGCGAAGAGAGATCGAGGTCCTGAGATCAGATCTAGGGTTTGTGATCTGAGAGAGAGGGAGGGAGATGGAGACTAAGGCTAAAGATGTTGGGATTCTCGCCATGGATATCTACTTCCCCCCTACTTGCGTTTATTTAATTTTTTCTTGAATTTTTTTTTTGTTTTTTATTTTGATTTTGTTGGGGTTTTCGAGAGTTCACGTCAAGATTTTGTAGAATCCATAAAAGAGCGAAATTAGGGGCCCATGGGCCAGTGGTCACGCTGCTGGCATTGGATGCGTTTTGGTTAATATTTTTATTTAATTTTTGGTATTGGTTTTATTTTTTTATCTGAATAATGAGAAAAAGATTAGTTCTTTGTTAGCGGCATTTGTAAGTGAATTCCTCTTTTTGCAGGAAACTTCCAAGTGTTGTTTTTTTTTAACTTGTTATTTTTGTAATTTCTTGTTTTGAGAAAGTTTTGATAATTTGTTAATTTGGTCGCAGGAGGAGCTCGAAGCTCATGATGGGGTGAGCAAGGGAAAGTATACGATTGGGCTGGGCCAAGATTGCATGGCCTTTTGCACAGAATTGGAAGATGTTATCTCAATGAGGTTTTTATTTGAATCATTATACATTCTGGACATTTGTCTGTTTCCTTATTGCCTACGCTGTAGATTGCCATTTTTTATTTGGGATTGCTTGTTTATTTGAGGGTTTCTTGTGCAGTTTGACTGTTGTTTCGTCACTCCTCGAGAAGTATCAGATCGACCCGAAACAGATTGGGAGATTGGAAGTTGGTACGGAAACGGTGATCGATAAGAGCAAGTCTATTAAGACTTGGCTGATGCAAATCTTTGAGGTATATTGCAAAATGGGAAAATGTGGAAAGCAGTTTCTTTGCTTGTTGGTCTGTATATGAAGAAACTTACGAAATTTAAACATCCAACAAAAATATGATATCATATGTGACATACCTACAACTGCTTAAATAATTGGGAATGCTGTTTGTGATATGACAAGATGAAGTTGAAGCTACAAATTTCTCTTTAACAGTAAGATGCAAAATTAGGTATAGCTCAATTTGACATGCTTTTATTTTTGCGCGTAGTTCAAAGAGTAATAGGAAAAAGAGAGACAGAGGTGTTGTATACAAAATGAAACATCATGCTACAGATCAGATATATAAGACTTAGCTAATGAAGGCAAAGAGGACTAGAGTTGATCGAAAAAACTTGGATGGAAACAGTTAAAAAGATACGGTAATAATTAACTTAATAAAGGAGATGACCCACAATTGAAATGCATATATTTGAGATAATAGCTTTGTTATTTTTTTTGTTAAATGGTACATCGGGATAATAATTAGAATCTCATTTAATCTGGACAGTATCAGCGTGCAACAATTTTGCCAATCTCTCTCTTTGATACGGTAAACAAGCATTAAGTGGGTCTAATTTTTTTGGCTTGTATTTCTGATTTCCTTGTTCTCTATGAGCTTCTTTTTGGTTATGCACATGCTTCTAAATTAAATCGTACTGAATTTTTTTGGGTTGCTGCTTCTTCTAAGTTATATAATTTGACCCTTACTTCCTTCTCATTAATGAAATGCAAAATAAGAGATTGGATGACTATTATTTTAACTTTTGACAAATTATATGGTTTAACCATTAATCCCTCCTTATATCCTTTTGTTTTGCATAATATTCTAAAGTTAAAAAAGAAAAAAAAAAGAAAAAAAAAGAAAATGTTAGCTCACTAAATAAGCGTGTGAATTGTTTTTATTTTAAAATTTAAAATTTAAAATTAAGGAGGGATACATGCCATCTTTTTAAGATGCTAGACTAATAGTAAACTACAGATCTCTTTTTAAATGGGATTTAAATCAAAAAAATTTCTTATCTACCCTTTTATGGAGTTCAATATGTTCTTTAAACTTTTTTGCGCTCACAGAATAGCAAATCTATATTTGTTATTTATGATGCATTTCAATTGATTCTCTTGTCTATTTAGGATTTCAATGGCATCTTAATTTTGATAGCCAAGATATGTTGTCAACATAGTAACTGCTAACCAATTCTTCAATAGATATACAGTCTTCACATATAACCACTAATCTACGATCTCTATAAAAATTGAAATATAGGTAAATCTCACTAAACACTCGATAAGCTTGGGCGTTTGGCACTATATCCCCAATACCTTCGGAACTCTATTTGAACCCCCAAAAATTTTTGGCAGAAAAATTCAAAATTAACATCATTAGTTCATCTGTTGTTCGACCAAAATACCTCCTCCGTCCGCAATAAAGTTTGGCAGAAAACACTCAATAAGTTTTTAGTTTTATGACTTAACCCTTAATAACTTTGGTAGAAAACCCCAATAACCTCTGTTTATAATTTTTAGGGTTTTATATGTAAGTTTGGATTTTTAGGAGATTATTTGTACATTTGGAACTTAAAAAGGGGTTGTTTAAAATTTTACAGTTTTTGCGGAGAGCTATTTGTAATATTCAAAAATTTTGGGTGGTTAGTACTTTTCAAACTTTTAGGGTTTGCTTGAAATGTTTATATTTCTTAAAGGGCTTTTTGCATTTTATA